TGGGGGGGGGAGGTTTGCTGAATTTTTTTTGAAAGTTGTTCTAAGAAATTCATGCTATAAATATTCCTTTTTCTGTTACCAGAATCCCATCGATAACTTTGAACAGCCAATGCATCTGGAGAAGTGGTTTCCTCGTCAGGTGATCAGAAGCAAACGAGAAGAAATTCGAGACCTGATCTTGCAATTGCACTTTCAACAGCATAGTGGCAGCAGCAGCTAATAAATCTGCTCAGCCAGACCTGGCAAAGACAGGGCTATATACAGTAACTGGAACTCTCCTTAGCAGCATTTGGGCTCTTTCTGCCTTACAAGTCTGAAAAAAATACCACAAGAAGTATTTTGTTTGTTCATTGTACATTTTATTTAAATAATTTTTTCATTTCGATTGTGCGGTCATAGAATGCAGTGATGGGAAAGGAGAAGGCTATAGATAAAAGTGTAAATATGTAAGTTAAAGCTAGTTCATATTTGTTGCTAATTGAACTTTTACTTGGAATATGGAAGCTACGTTTGGGTATGTGCCACAAAGATGTAAAAATATTTTGATCTTACGAAGCCTGTTTCTTACAATTCTGTATAAACATAACTTAGAGTTGAATGAGCATATAGCAGTCAGGCCTGAAGACAGGATTTTGACCCTGTGCTGTGACTCTTTCTACTTTGCAGTTCACACAGAATGAATACTATGTATTGTTTTAATTTAAGGTTATAATATTGACTCTCTTTAGAGATTTTTTTTGTTTGTTTCTGATTATATACAGAAATAGTCTGCATTTGTCAGAATATTCTGCTGAGATTTGCGGCTGCTGGATTTTGTTTTTTTTTTTTTCCTCCCTCGCATTTTCATCATAAAAACTTATTTTCATGGGAGTTGAAGCCATTTACTTCAGAGTGAATTTTGAAACCTTTTAAGTTCAAAAGTGGTGGTCTCTTTCCTATATTTTTAAAGATTTTTTTTTTCTTAACCAGATTTTAGAAAAAAATCTTACTGTCAAAGTATGTGCCAATACATGAAGGCAGTAGATTTTTAGTCCTACATACCGTAGTTTTGGGAGTTATACCTCTGAATTTTATGGCATCATTTGCCTTAAAAAAGCAAGCAAGCTGTAGTTTCGTAAGTTTATTTGAGATGTTTTACTGAAAAGTAAGCCCTTATTTTCATTCATAAAGGTCATTGTTATATGTAATATGTCTTTAGGATATGTAAATTACATATAAGACAAACAGGTTTTATACTTTGCTCAGGAGAACTGAGTAAAGATGCCCACATGTGTGAGTACTTGAACTTGGGGACTTGATTTGATAAACTAGCACAAGTTGGCTAAGTATGCATTGACAAAGTTTTTCTCATATATTGATCACAGAAAACTGTAATAGCCTTTTCATATGTGCACGTTTTTTCTCACGGTCACTGCATAATGTGAGGTGGCTGTGTTTAGAAGAAGGCTTTCTCCTGTTCCCCAGAGTAAGTCAAGTCATGTGTCGCAGCAGCTTTCGGAAGGGGACCATATGTCAGCTAACCACCAAAACCACTGTGTCATAAACATATCTACAAAACCAGGCCTCTTAAAGCTGCAAGTAGGCTAGAGAGTTAAAATGAAAATTGAGGGCAACCTAAAGATGTGATCAGTTTTCTGGTGTCTCGAAATTCTCAGGGCCCCTTCCCTCAAGGCAACTCTGATACTTTACATTGCAAAATCTGGTAGTTTCTTCAGGTTCCGTGCAGTTATCCAAAAAAAAAGGATTGTTTCGGGAACCAGGAAGCATTCTTTCTGGAAAAGAGAGACAATATTAAAACGAAATTATTTGCTGGTCGCAGTTACATACTGTATAACTGTGGGCAGCCTGGTGCAAATAATGCATGTGTTTGACTTCATTTCCACTTTAATACTGTAGTTTGTCACTACACCCATCACCCTCCTCCTCAACTTCTATCCCCATCATCCCAGAGCGTTTTGTGGCTTTCATCACCTAAACCACATCAGCGCTACAGGGATAATCTGTGTATTTATTATAAAATAGATAAAAGAATGAATTCAGAAATGTGTGCCCTTTCTCTGTATCTTTTAAATTGTGAATATTTCTGATGTTCCCTTAAATTTGTATTATAAATCGTTTGGGGTTTTGCTACTGTAAAAATTGGTTTCCATCATAAAGTAATATTTGTTTTCCTTTAGATTGGCTGGTTTGTAGATATTTAAAAGCAAAAGTCCTGTGTAAACTTTCCTGAATTGGTTTTATAACATTTTAAAGGATTACTTTCATACATAGAGTAATGCTAGATGTGTGCTGTGAGAATGCCAATACATTTGATTTAAAAATCTCCAGAAGTTGCTGAATGTGATCGTTACCATTCCTTTTCTCTGCTGCCACAAATAACCAGAGAGTAAGCATAAGATACACCGTCTTACTGCTTTTAGTCACGTACACAGTATGGATCTGTTAATCTAATTTTGTATGAAAGTGATTATTTATTAAAAAGGCATTCAGCTAGTTTACAGCTTCTTGTAGCAAGCAAGGCTACTTTTTGGTGTAACACAGTGTTATAGTTGTTTTCTGTAGTTAGGCTAACAGTCTGACAGCCTGAATGACCAACTTGGAAGAGTCTACCAGATGCAACCCACCCCGTTCCAGCCATTTGCATTTAGCACTTGCATCAGTTGCAGTTTGGGGGCTATTGCTGAAGTGTAAATTAGAGCTCACCTACAGTAACTCTTAGCATATATCAGGCGCCTTTTTGCATGCGTCCTGTATCTCTGTTTCCTGTGTCAGTCCCCATTTAACGGAAATGGTGGAGTGACATGATCCAACCAGTCTTTGTAAGCTATTTACTCTACGTATTTGCAATTTTATTTTAACAGTATCTTATTGTAGTTATAAATGTGTTGAGCCATGCTGGGCTGAATTTGCTCAGTTTCCTTTCATTTTGGAAGATTAAATGGCCCCAGGTCTTGGGAGACAGGTGACCATACGCTGGTATGGTAGAGAACTCTCGCAGAGCACTCTCGCTGCCAGGAGCACAAGCGAAAAGCGGTTGTGGCAAAATGTTTGGCAACAGCAACCACAGAAACCGAACAAGTGAAAGATTTCTTCTGACCTAATTGTCTCAGCTAAACTGATCTGGAATTTTTTTGGTTAATCGTGGCATATACCGTGAAGTCAGCTGTTGTAGTCCATTCACAGGAGACAGTTTATAATCTTGATATTAAGTCACAGGAGTTTGAAAATAAGGAGCACCGGCAGTCATGTAACTTCGTCAGAGGCACTCTCATTAAGATGTACCTTTATTTTGCATTGCTTATCTACAGATGTCAGTAGATTTAGCTTTCTGAATGTGGTTGAAAGGCAAAATTATGTAAACACAGCATTTGCACTACAGCAGAATTTCAGTGGCTATTATCTTATAGAAAACTAATTCAGTTATTTACATTTGCTATATGAAAGTGCATATGCTTTCTTTTCAGAAACACAAAATACCAGAAAATTGGCTTTTTATTATGAAAGGTCTTTATATGACCTTGGCCTGTCCCTTCGCTAGGATTGTATTTGCCTTTTTCATCAGGAAAAAACATTTTTCCTAAACACTTTTGAACAGAAATCATATCTGTTCATGTCTTGGAAATCAAGAATAATGCATTTTCTAGTGCAAAACGTTACTGTAAAGGCTTTACCCAGATCAAGGGAGGAATTAGTTTTCAAAGGTTATTTTGAAAATTTATTACAAGACTTGTTCTGCTTGTTTTGAAACACTTCAAGTGATGCTTGTGCTTTCTCAGTTGTGCGTTTTGCTATCAGAAACGCTTAGAGACTTTCAGCTGTTGCAAGTCTAAATTTCAGTGCTGAAATCAGTGTTGAATTTAAAATTGACAGGTTGAGCTAACATTATTAAAACTATATGTAAATGTTCAGAATAATTTATCACCCAGAAGCTGTATAGCTGTAGAAAACAATTAAATTTTTCCAGAGAGCTAAAACAGGTATTTTTTATACTAGCCAAATTCTCAGTGCAGCTCAGTACTACTTTGTTTTTTTTCATCACCACTCTAAATTTGAGAACTGTCCAGGAAAACACTTAATTGGATTTCAAACTCTTATTCAAGCTCATGCATTCTGAAAATTTCTCTAAATGGATTTGTTGTCATACGTTCTTGAGATAAGTGAGCCTTTGTCTTTCTTAGTATGGATGGTAATTCTAGTCTTGCTTTAGTTGTATTTTTGCTGGCTAATGGAAGCGAAGTCACTCATGACTTTGAAAGCATCCATCTCTGCAGAGGATTTAAAAAAAAAAAAAAAAAAAGGCTAGTCTGTGTTGCTGAATGCAGCGTTGTGACAAAGATATCCAAGCTAGCCTCAGAAGCTGCTCTGTTGACTTAGATGTGCTTGTGGGACTGGGAAGTAGCGCATGGGTGTGAGCGCAGCGTCGTTCCTGTGCCTTGCCGCATCAGGACCATTCAATTTACAGCTTCACTGTGGAGTACTGCGCCTTGCGTTGCTGCCAGTTGGGTAATAGAGCTAGCCTAGGTGCGTCTGAACTGTGCACATCAGAGAGATTGCAAATGTCTGATTCTAAGAAACCTGTTTAATGTAGTTGTCAAAACAACTCAGTGGCTTAAATGAAGTGTGATTCAGTAGTTTTGTGGAAAAAAGCGAGGAAAATTTGTCATTGTTTTGAAAATACAAGCCAGAGTCTGTTAGAAGGCAGAAGACAGATCCTAAAAGCAAGGGTGATTTTCTTTGATTCCTGTGAATGTCCTGTGTGTGATACCAGGAAGTTCTTTGTTACTATCTGTACTGCTAGAGTTTAGCAGAGTGGCTGTAGGAGAGGAGTCGGCACTGCATACCCAGGGAGTCCTGTGCTTGGTCCCTCAGCAAATACTCTGCAGACCTTCTCTGGAAAGCCTTGGGAACCCACCTTTGAAATATTTACACAAAACCACTAAACTAAAGCTAGTCACCTTGAACGAGCCAGCAGTTTGCTCAGATTCATCTGGACACAGTAAGGAGCAAGACCTGAATAGTGTAGGCCGTGAGGCAGCCCTTACAGGGTTGCTCCAGCGGGACGAATGCCGTCCGCCGTTGCAGGAGGGCTTCCACATGCGTTTCCCCAGTAAGCCAACCCCAGGCAGGAGGAGAGCTGAGACTGCTGCTGCTTTTCTGCACTTGGTCCTTACTGCAGTTCTTGTTAACAGATATCTGTTCAGGTATCAGGACAAATCTGTTCCTAATGTTTGTGTCAAATGAGAGATGAAAAAACAGATTTGCCCCGATTTATGTTGGGGGAAGCAGCCGTTCTGGAATGTGAAGCACAGTGGTGTAACAACACAAGATTTTCTACTTCAGCGCAGGCTCAGGCCGTGGGACTTCATTAGCTCTGTCACCAGAAGAAACAGGACACCGAAGAAAGGTTGCTTCAGTGCTACCTACCTCAGTGTTTAAACCAGTCAGTGCATTTTTAGATGCATATATTTGTACAAGCAAAAGAGGCAGCACACACTGAGACCTTGTACTGGAGAACAGTGTGCTCCCTCTGAGGTTTGGTGGGCAGCATGTTTTTGAAAAAGGGCAGAAATTGAAGAGCCAATGAACAAACGTGGTTAATTAAATGTGAAAGGTGCTGTCCTTGTTTGGACTGTTAATAGTATGACAAGCTCTGGTAAAGAGCTTAGCTGACCAGATTAAAATTAAAAAATTGTCTCAGTCCATCTGCTAACTCCAAGAGCTTGCTTTCATCACCTTTTCTTGTTTTTCACTGAAGTGGAATACTCTCTTTGAAGAGAAGATCATTCCTAGGATATCTTGGCTGTTTTTTTTTTTTTTTTAAAAACTACTGTGGTTTTTTTTTTTTTTGAAACTAATGTGACGTCAAGACATTTCAGGAAGGGCGATGCTCTTGGTTGGTTCAAGGTTATGTTACAGAAAACAGCTCTCTAACAGCTAAACGGGATTTTCTTTTCCTCTTTTCTTTGCATATTGGTTTTTGGACACAGTAAGTATGCTCAACTTGCCTTGGAAAATCTATCTCTGCATCTTGGTTTTGAGAACGATTGAAGGAGATCTTCAGAATCTTCAGATTGTTGCAGGTAATGCAGTACTCTTCTTTATAGTCTTATTTTAAAGATTGTACGCGTGACAGTATGTAGAAATAAAAATATCTCTCTGCGTTAGTTAGAACAAACGGAAGTAGAATAATACAGAAAGATGTTGGTCAAATCTTTGCTGTGGAATCTGTTAACATGGAGAACTTGCAGTGATTTCCAAGAGGCCTTACTGTACGTTTGTATTGTTTTAACAGAGTAGAATGTAGCTACGGGATGCTAGTGTTTCCAACTTTGAAAAGCATGAAGTACTGGTGAAAAAAGTTTTTTACTTGATATTCTTTAATAATTTTATATTAAATCTTTGAAAGAATTTGTCTTCTCTGTATAGGCACTGAAGATGTGTCAGTTTTGGTAAAGATTGCGGTTTTGACGTAGCGACCTTGTTCAACATTCTCTTCTCCCTCTGACGTACCATCTGGTGGTGCTTTTCTGTTATAGAGCTGACTCTTAGTACACCATCCAAATAACCACGTTCCTGATGTTTCAGTCATCAAAGTCAAAGGTGCTATTGATTTTGATGATGCAGAATGAGGTCGTAACCTATGGGATGAAAAATGCTATAGATGTATTACTATTCTTTCGTTAATGAATGAATTCATTGTGATTCTTCTTTAGTGGTGTTCTTGGGAGGGAGGGAAGGGGAGAAAAAAGTGGAATTAGTGGAATTAGCTAATTTTAAATCACCTGCCTGTGGAGGACAGAGAATGAGACTGTCAGACTAAACCTGAATAGACACATTCTTCCTTCAGCTGTGAAGTTTCATCTGCAGTGATGTGGAAAAACTAACATAAGAGGAAATTAAAAAGCTAAAAGCTAGAGCTGCTAAGCTTTTCCTTTTTTCCCCTTCCCCTGCTCCCATCAGGTGGGGACCCATCCGGTGGTGATAGAAGGCATACTTGCTAGGTGTTGATTCAGGCAGCTTACTTAAAACAAGGGATATGAAAGTTAAATTTTTTTTTTTTTTTTTTGCAGAAAGGCTGTATAAGCTAAAGGGAATTGTTAATTGATTAGTTTAGTGGCCCTGCAAGCTGTCATAGCACATCTGTTTAGTCACATATGTAGTCCCATTGGCTTAAAGGAGCTAAATTACAGAAGCAAAGTTCAGCACAAAACGTTAGCATTTGTAGGGTTAGAGCTTTGGGTTATTTGAAAGGATGCTATGAAGAGCTTAAGGTTATTTAAAATAATACTGTCATCACAGAGACAGGTTTTTGGGAAGAATAAATGGCTTGTTAACAGAAAAAAGCACAGTTTTGTCCCTCAGAGATCAAAACAAAAGCATTAAGATGCATTAAGATACGTAGGAATGTGTCACTATCTCACCTGAGACGTTTTTGTGTGGTTTTAATTTTACAGCAGAAGCTTATTCAGCTGCAGAAGAAACACAGGCTAAAGATGCTTCACCAGCCCCTCAGTTTGGTGGCTGGCATTTAGCAAGCCCTTCTCTGTCTCCTGAATTGAAAAAAACTATTGGCATTTCGGAGACTGAACAGGTCAACAGACACTTATTGCTTCGAAGGAAGCGATCCGTTTTGTTTCCCGGAGTTAAGATCTGCCCTGATGAATCTGTTGAGCAGGCTATTGCCAACCATCTGAAATACTTCAGGCTCAGAGGTAAGTAAGCATGAACAATGTAGTCAGTGTGCATTTTGTGGGTAATTGATAAAGAGCAGCTACTTGAAAAGAAATTAATAGATGAAGCTTTTAAAGCGAGGAATAGGAACCATGCAATAGGAAATATGTTATTACACAAGAAACTTAGTTTTCTGTGGTAACCTTCCTCATGGCAAGCTATTCTGAGCTAAAAAGTTGGTATTAATTGAGCTAAGCACAGTTAGTGTTTAATAATTATTCATACTTTCTCATAGAACAATTTGAATGGTCAGAAAAATAGACAGTATGCACAGGTTCATGAAGCAGTAGATGTAGGTTTTAGTTAGGGAATTCTGCTTAGAATTCCAGCAGAATTCACGGAGGGGTCTTTAGGAAAAGAATCAAGTCAGAGACACTGGTGTCTCGACCATGGGACTTTTGATTATGGCTGGTTGTGCAAAGGGTAGGATACTCCTCTAGCTAAAAAGCCAATCTCTTCATATTAGGCTGTGACACAATGGAAAGAGTTGAAGCCTTTCTTTTAAGAGGTATGAGTCAGTACAGGAGTCGTCTTTGAGAATCTGAAATATTCTCGGTAGTAGCTTCTTTTGTGAATTACTTTGGCAGTGTGTCATATTTTGACACTTCTATCTGCGAAAAGGTTGGAATAGAAAACTGAGGTTGTCCAGCAGCTTTTCTTTCTGGTATCTGTGTCTCTCCTTACTGTGCCATCCAAACACTTCACGGTATCTTGCTGTGTGTGTTTCCGCAAAATCTGTCAGTGAAACAAGAAAGAGCTGCTGTCACTTGAAGGAAACATGTTCAGAGGCGTGTTTAATGCCTATACAAGCAAGTCACACTGGGAACTCCCAGTGTGTTACGCTTAGGTACCTGCTTTAAAATAATACAGTTAAATCACTGTAATTCCCTTTTCAGCATCTTTGTCCAGAATAAAAATGCCTTTTTGTATTTCTATTTAAAGTTTATTAAAATGTAATTAAATATTTAAAAATTGAAAACTTATTTATTTATGTGGCTTAGGAAAGGATTCTAAGCTTTTAAAAAAAGAAATAAGAAGGCCATACTGCCTTCTGTCCACATGACAGTTATGCTTGTATTACTGTACTAATAGAAGTGGTTAAACTGTCATGAATAAACTAAACAGTGAGCTCCTAGATCACTTTGACGAATAAGTCTACCTTAAATGACTTACCTAAGGTCCTGCAAGCTTGAGACAAGGCAGAGTATTGAGCCTGTAATCCCTCAAGTCCCAGACATCCATCACGGACGCTGGATCAGCCTTTCTGTTTGCTCACTAGGTTAATACCGCTCTCTCAACAGTCACAAGATGAAGGCTTTTCTAGCACCTCTGGACTATGGGAGCCCTTTTTCAGTCCCATCTTTTCAGCAATAGTTGCGGTAATAGTGCTGCCCTCTGAACAGAAGTTCCTCTTTCCAAATAAAGTTCCTGAGGACTGCATGTGTCGCAGAGTACCAATGTGTAGGGACTTAAAGAAATGGTTTTGAGCAAAGGGAGGCCAATTTTCACTTGCTGTCCACCTAGCGGTACTGCACTCCTCCGATCATGTAGGGGCTCCTTTCAAAATTCTGCTTATGAAGAGACAGTTGGGCTATCTGGTCGCCTAACAGGATAAGGTGTCTATATAGAGGCCTCTTTTGGAAACTGTTCCTTTTTGCGCTGTACCATAACTGCCTCCCTTCCTCTCTTGCCACCATCTAGTGATTTGTGTTACGCTGGTCTGGTAAACTCCCCCTCCAGCCGCAATATATGCATCTAGGAAACTTGCTATATGAAGTATTACTGCAGAGACCATTCTGGAAGTCTCCCTTGCTTCTCAAAGCCTTGCAAGGGTATTTGGGTCAGGATTCTGCTCTTTTTGAGACAAGGGTCCTGTTCCAAAGCCTGTTGGAGTTGGTGAGTTTGGCTTCACATGGGTTTGGATCATGTACTCTGTGTTTGTACTCCCTTCATAGCAGTGAAAAACCGTTAGGACCTGGAGTTACTGAACGTATGTGTAAAAGTAAATGCAAAGAACGTGTTTGGAGAAGAAAGTGGAATCCTGTAGGATCAGAGCCTCATCCAGATATCTGTCTGAATATTTGAAAGTTCACACAGTTTGACAGGCTTCGAACTTCTTGTTTTCATCTGCCCAGAAAAGTTTGACTGTTCTTTGTTTTGCTCCAAATGAATCCACGTTTATGTGCTTTAGCTGTAGTCGCCCCTCTGTTATCTGTGATAAGGAGAATGTGGGCCGCTACAGAATAAGCAAAAATGTGAATGATAAAGGAGAAGAAAAATCTGTAAATTAGGTTGCAAAATCATATTCACAACTTAACTATGCTAGGTTGGACCAGAGGTCCATCTGCTTCCCTACTGGACTCTTCTGGTCTCCACAGTCCACAAGGACTTCTTGAGTAGAGGTGTTGTGTCCACCCTTAGCATGTTAAACTTTTGAAAAAGATTTCTGCAAGAAGCAGAGGTGACTTGAAGTAGCAGCAGGTAGAGCAAGGTTCAGTTCAAACAACCTGCCTCCTTCATTTTGCTGGCAGCCCTGTGCTGCATCAAGAGTATTTGGTGAAGTCTACTTAATCGCATCCTGAGTAAATGCACCCTGGGGTAAGTGAGAGTTGATGATGCTGTTACTTTCATTCACAATAAAGCTGCTCCTTGAGCACTGTTGAATTATATACCTTGATATACTTATGATTTCTTGAAACCACGTTTCAAGCTAGCAAAATCAGTGCAGGGATAAAATAGTGAGATGAACTCTCTTGTCTGTGCGCTGTCAACACAATATTCCTAGGAAGGAGTGTGGTCCCAGTCTGGCTCTCAGAGGCCAGCTAGTATCAGTGATTAGAAAAATAACTGACCCCACGAGGGAATAAATATGGTAGTACACGAAACTTTCAGATTCATAAGATCTCTTTCAATTTTAGTATGCGTTTTAAGAATTTTCTTTTTATTCTGTACCTGTTAAAGTAAGGGACGACTTTAATATCCTATACTTTCTCATTAAAGGAGGGTTTTAACAAAATGTATTCTTTCCTTATTTTCACTTTCATATCAATAAAAACCAGTGCCATTACCATGGAAGGAAAGGATGTTGCTATTTTGACGTAAGAGCTTGATAGAAAAACAAAAAAGGCTTGCCAGTGCTGGTTATCCAGGTTACACTTGTTCTATCTGTATCCACCTTAGAAAGAAACAGGTAGGACTGTAATTATCTATCTGTGGTTCCCAGCTTTATTTGCTTTTACAAGCTTGCTAAGGCCTCTGTTAGTGGTAGAGATTGACTGATGTGCATTTCTAATGTATGCTTTGAGCCAGGTGCTCACATCCTACAGCTGTACGCTTTAAGCGTATAGCTTCCCCTGCCCCACTAAGTGCAACTTCTGGATTTTTTTTAAGGTTAAATTCTCCTAAGAACAATCACATTCGTGACATGTACTGTTTGACAGACCTGCAGATCCAGAAATTTGTTTTTCAAACGGATAATCCTAAGAGATACAAAAAGTACGAAGTGAATCATAAACAATTTTAAAAGGGCAGCAGAATACAGGGATACAAACATCAGTATTCTCTAAAATAACAGTAGCACCATTTAGCATTTCAAAGCCTAAGTAATGGTATGATTATTCATTGGTGGTTATGATTATTGTAGCAGATAGAAGCACCAGCCAAGAGTAGGGATGTTTTTGCAGTCGTTTCTGTATATCTGCTGTCAAAGACAGGTTCCTTGAGTCCTGATTTATTCCTACAGTCAGTCACTTTGCAGAACAGATAGAGTTTTACATTAAGCAATAGGCATTATTTTCTGTCTCTTCTGGACCGAATCTGGGATTACGGTTATCTCTGTAGTCCTCAGTACTCCCTGCATCTTTTGTAACTATATATGGAAATTGCTGCTCTTGGCTGGCTTTATATTTCATTACGCAGAGAGCGAGCGTGAGAGAGAGGGAGAGACAGAGAACATAAAGACGGCAATTAGTCAAAGCCTATGGATCGGATCCTATAGGCTGTTTTAACACGTCCTTTTAAAATGGTAAGAAGACTATTGTTGGTGCCCGAGGGTTCATGTAAATCTAGCACTAGTTTGTAGCTGGACTGTTTTGATGAGCACAGGGTTGGTGTATCTAATGGACAGCTGTAGATTTCACAAAACAGATTTAGTGAAATTAAACTGAAAGTATGAATTTCAGTGCACTATATAAAGTAATGTTAATTTTGAATAATGTTTTGTACTACGCACAGGGAGTTGATAGCCCAGGCCCCTGTTAAATAAAAACTAGTATTGGGATTGACTAGTCACCTTGTGTTGACAGTTCAGTGTATCTATCCACTTTGTTTGTTATAAAATGCCAGTAGATGGCTGAAGATTTCAATAAACTTGGAAGCTGAGTTAGCCAGTAAAATGGAAATGAGTTAAGGCTTACAAGGTAGCATGGAGAAGCTTGCACTGCTGTCCCTATTCTGTATCTGTTAACCAGGTAAAACAAAGGATGCTGGGTTTTCACACTGCAGTCCAGGGTAAATAGTGCTTCTCTCTTGGGGTATCTGAGGTGTCGTCACTCTGGTAGCTACGTTTGTTTGCGTTTTTTCCTCATGTGATCCACTGTCTTGCACAACTCGACATATCCATGTCAAATGAGTGCATCTTATTTTCAGATGAGTAGAACAGATCATCTCGCTGCCAGAACTGTTTTTATCAGCCAGAGCTTCAAATAAAGCTGAAGACTAAAGATAGCATCTAAAGATACTGACCAAAGAAGGAACTAGACAGTATTCTAGGATGTGATAGTTATTAAGGGACAAAGAAGACCTCTTCATTTTGGTACTTTGAAGAGAACAAAAGGTGCTCCTCAGGAATGAGGTTCTGTGCGGGATAGTAACTCCTTGACTTGGTAATCTCAGGCTCAGGACTGAGCTGTCCATGTTAAAGTCAAAATCCAGATTTTCTCCCTGTTTCTTGGGTTCAGGTCTATTTATTGAAGTGTTAGAA